GAGTTGTAGTGCGAGGTTGGCAGGTCCCGGGTCCCAAGCATGGAGACCGAAGGTGACACTATGCCACCGGGGGACGCTCTCGGCTCGTTTCTCTGACAGTCCTGTTACCTGGTGCTAGACTGAGAAATGGAAGAAGGCGGGGGTGGCGTGCGGTGGGGGTGGAATAAAGCGTTTTGTTAATTCCTCCTTTCAATATGGAGAAAACCCCACAGTGAGGAGACATGGACAAGTGCGTTGGTGCTAGGGTTGTTCCTCGTTCGCTTTTTTATTCCTGGATCCCGATAGCTCAATGGTAGGCGATGTAGTAAGCATTGTATAAATGTTAACTCATTTAACCCTCAACAAGCCTATAAGGTAGGTTCTATTATTGTCCTTACTTTACAGATTGAAAAACTGAGGTGTAGAGAGGTTAAAATTGAGGTTGTCTGAAGTCACGTCGTGCTAGTATGAGGTGTTCTGGCTCCAATATACTATGCTGTCTCTTACCTAACAAATGGATGGAGGTATATATAGCCTGGACTAGTGACTTAAAGAGATTTGACTCAGAGTCCTAGTAGAAATATATTTTACGTTGGTACTCAGTACATACACAGATGTACTCAGTACATACACACAAAACCGAAACATAAACTTCATGAAACAATGCCCTCATGACATAAGGTGCACTGTTATGTTCTATTTTCTTTTAATAAGTGTTGATCAATCCCCACCAAGGTGATTTCACCACTCATTGATGAATCTGGCCCCCTACTGAAACATACTTTGTTCTGTCCAAGTTCCATTTACCTCTGGAGAGCCTTCAGAAGGTCTTTAGCCTTGAGCAAGAGTGCCTTTTCATGGGTAGCCAACCACCCACTTGTCTCCAAAACTGAAGAAATTTGCGTGTCAAGGTGACCTCCCAGCATTCAGACCCAAGATGGTACAGATGGAGACCGACCCTTCATTCATGAGTCATTCTAGAGTCCGAATACACCAGATTCACTCTCCCTCCCACAACCCATTATGGTTTCCGTTAATTTGTAACCCGCCTTATTGGGGTTAAAATTTATTTTCTAACTTTAGTTTTGGCTTCAAAACAACTATGTTCATGGTCTTGAGTTTCAATTTGCTAGTTTCAATGGGTCATGGAAAATGACAGACTCTAGATGGAAGCATCTCCAGTTTTCACTTCAATATAGTCTCATGGAAAACACAAAGCAGGCAATATTGTATAGAATGGCAATGAGGTAGATAGAACAGAAAACGTTCAGTGAGGGGGACAGAAAATAGTTAATATTTAAGACAGAACCAAGTCAATGTTCCTATGTTGGCTTTTCTTTGGATTTTTATAGCCTGGGGTTTTCACTGGCTGGATTTCTGGGCTTTAAGGGATAAACACAGACTTTGGGTGAACACACCATATCCTTGGGTTCAAATCCAGGTTCTGTCACTTACTGGCTTATAAGTCTTAGACAAGTTATTTATTCTCTCTTGGGCTTTTATTCTTCACTAGTAATGGTGACCATTCTTTCATAGGTTGTCTCTACAATTAAATGAATACTTGGCACAGTGCTTGGCATTTACGAAATGCTCAAGAAGTGGTAGACCCTATTATCATCATTATTCATGCTATTGTATCTTGTATCTCTCTGGGAATATAGTGTGTTTTACACATAGTAGGTACTCAACAAATGTTTGATGAATCTCTGCTTTGGACAGATAGACAGGTTGGGTTTTCTCTCCTTTCCTGAAGGCACTCCTGGTGGGCAGCTCTCCTCCACTTCCCATACTAGGTTGAAAATGCTTCTGTTCTTCTGTAGCAACAACTTGAGCACTCGTTTGGTTTCCTTTCAGTCTTATACTTGTTCACCTTCAAAATGTTTAGTAGTTGGTACAGTATGCTGCAAGGAGGTCCCCCTCCCTCCCAGCAGAAAAGCAAGGCAAAGGAAGTCTGCAAAAACAGCCAGGGGTGTTAAATTACTCGTGTTTATTTATAACAGACCTTCAGCCAGTACAGTACAAAACTTACAGTAGTATATCTCCGTTACACAAATATTTACTTACAATATATTACATATACAAAATGCTTTGCAATAAGTCTCAAAAGCTAGTTTAACTCCCCTTGAGAAAGGAGAAAAACTCTTTAAAAAAAAAGGGGGGGGGAGGGGGAACCAGAGGAAGAGGAGGAGGTGAAGGGCTAAGGTCCAAGGAGACACCAAGCATAGGCTACAAATGAAACCCTGGGAGAGAGAGAAGAGAGGTGGTATTGCACTTGCTTCTGTGTTTTTTTTTTTTTTTTCTTTTTGTTCTTCATAACTTCTGATTAAAAATATATATTATATATATATATTATGTACACAAGGAAAGAAGCTGCCGGAAGTATTACAAAATCCCGTCTGCAGCTTGGACACTGACACGAAAAAACAAAGGTCTGGAAAAGTGTTTATTTAGAAATTTTTTTGTGTGGTGTTGATTTTAAATATCAATATAAAAGGAAAACACCTCTTTTCTCCATGTGGGTTTCAATGTCTTTTTTTTTCTTTTTCTTTACTTTTTTTTTTTTTTTTTTGCAAAAGGCTGCTGGGAGAGAACATGAGGATGTTTGAGGTTCCAGAGCTGGAAGGCTCTGGAAAGTAGGATTTTGTACCTAAGACCCTGGTTAAAGTGCAGTGATGGTCTGGAGAGAGACAGAGTGCCCTTCTCTCCCCTCCTTAGCACCTGGCCTTGCCCTTCCAGTCTCTGCTCTCATGGGCTCAGAGGATGGCCTCAGAGCATAGTCTTTCATGTTCCAGGAGGTTACAGGTGCCAAAACTGACTGGGGGAGGGGATAGGGCACCCTAATGCTCTGATACCCCAGAAGGTACTAGTCCTTATGAGGTGTCACCAAATACACAGCAGCAGAAGAGGTGGTGAGGGCAGGTCTAACAGGAAGGGGCTCAATAACCAGAACAGTTGAGGGGAACCCCAGATATTAATCTCAGCTCTGCTGCCATTCTGAAACAAGGAGCCAGTTCCCTGGGGTGTTCTCAAGAAGACTCTCCCCTTCTCCAGAGACCACTCTCCTCCCAGATGACTCCCCGATCCTCTGCCCTTGGCAGCATCTGTTTATTGCTACATTGTCAAGGAGGGACAGTCAACCCACGGTGCCCCTCCTTGACAATCTGGTTCTCTTGGGGAGACCACATAGTGGGGGAGAAAAGGAGGAAGAAGAGAAGTTTTTTAGGGTCTCCCTTCCCATAATAGGGTAAGGTAGACTCTCTTAGAGCCCTTAAGAGCCCCAATCCCAGGGTCTGTTCCTTAGCCAACCTTTTACCATCCCCCTAAATTATCCCTGATAGGGAGTGAGAAAAGTAGGAGGCAAAAGAGCCAATAAGGAAAGGACATGTGGAAAGAAAGATGGAAGGGAAGAGAAAAGGGGAGAGAGAGAGAGAGAAGGACCAAGTGTTACAACTTGTGAGGTGTTGTGTTTGGTTTTTACTTTTTTTATCTTTAAATATAGAAAAACAGGCTTTGGTTTGAATCTCAAGGAAGCAGAGAATGGGATGGCTGTGGCCTTGGGCAGGGAACTCTTGTAGAAAGAGACCTCCAGTTGCAGTGGAGCTGTATCTCCTCCTGCCCCCTTCTCACTAACTAGGTTACCCAAATAGCCAGAGGTCTCTGCAGTAGCCAGGAGAGTGCCCCCTCCTGCCCTACATCTGGGAGCTGAGTGTAGAGGGGGCAGTAAAGGATGACCCCCCAGTTCCGTTGTGCCCATCCCATTCTTGCTGGGACAAGAGTGGAATGGGGAGAGGGGCACATGCCCTTGCTCATCCTGGGATAATTTTTGGTTATACAGAAAATTAGGAGAGAGAAAAGAGACAGCCTTTTCTCCCTGCCACTGATCCTAAGAACAGGGCCCAGGAGCCCGGGAATGAGAGGGTGAATCCTGCTGGGGGAGAAGAAGAAGGCAGCGTGACGCGGGGGGCTGAGGGTACCCCCTTGTTATCAGGCAGCAACTCACCAGTTTCTCATAGGACAGGGACCACAGGAGTCCCTGAGAGCCCAGGAAGGTCACTAGAGTGAAGAAGTTTGAGAGGTGGGAGAGAAAGAGAAGAATTTTGACCCATTCCCTTCCCTGGTTCCCATTTAGGCACCTGTGGCTCCAAACGTGTCAGAGACAGAGGACTGCTGACCTAGCCTTGGCCCCTGAGAATATAAAATTGGGGCACTCCAAGGAGAGAAAAACTACCACGGAGTAGACGGGCAGTTCGAGGAGAGAAGAGAGAGATATCACATCCTAGAGGCAGATCCTGAATGTGGGCTTTGGGGAACTCGTATTACCAGGGGGATGTCAAGAGGACCCTCAGTCCCATGGTGCCTGGGGAGAATTTCTTCGGCCTCTCCTACTTCCAAATGAGGGATTTCTTCATTCGATCAGGACTAGTGCAAGCTGCCTAAAGTGAGAGGGCACAAGAGGTATGGAGTACCAGGTTGAAGGGTCCCAGAGAGGAGATATAATGTCACAGAGCTAAGGTAGGGCCAGAGGGAGCTATCACCATCAAAACTGAAGAATCAGATAATGTAAAAGATTAGGACTTAAATCAAGAAGCTCAAGGTCTCTTAGCACTAAGAGGAGCTTCCTACCCCTGGGGCTGTTGGAGAAAGCTGGATCAAAGAGAAAAATTAGGCCTAAAGCAGAAGGGGACTGTGGGCAGGAAGGTGGGGTGTGGTAAGTGACCAATATAAGTTAAAAAAAAAAAAAAGCAAAAGAAAACAAATTATATTAATAAATAACTCAGTGAGTATGGTGGGATGCGAGGAGAAGAGAAGGAGAAACATAAGCAAAAGACCTGTTTCATCACAATGCTTAGATCAGTCGGGGAAGAGGCGGCGCACAGGTGGGGAGGGGTCAGGGTCAGGTGTGAAGTCAGGTAGCCAGTAGCGGCGCTACACAACCCAACTCCTTGGGACGTGATGGGGACAGGGCTAGACTCCTGTAGGTAGGGCAGTGGAGTAATGGACCGAGGCGGGACGCTTGGTCGCTAGCCCACCTTGTGCTCCCCCCGGACAATGTGGGAAGAGAATTCGTACCGGTCCTGGCTGTGGTAACCACAGATGTTGCACTCGAAAGGGTCTCTGAAGCCATGGCAGCCCATGTGGATAGTGAACATGACATGGTCCAGGAAGAGGATGCGGCAGTGCTCACACTTGAAGGCCTTCACCGGCTCACCGCTCTCGCCCACCACCCGAAGCACTTCCTTGGAGGGGCCTGGGGTGCCCCGCAGTAACCCCTCCTGTGGCTTGGGGTCCTCTTTGGCGTAGGCAGGACTGGGCCGGCCCACCACAATGGTGGGAGGAGGCTGGGGTGGGGGACCCTGAGGGAGGGATACCACTGCCCCAACCCGATCTTCGTGGTTGCTCTCTGTATCTGTGGAGTCCTGGCAGCCATTGCTGGGGGACGCCCCGGGGTCAGTCAGGGGGCCTCGGGCCCGGTAGAGGAGGGGACCTCCATCAGCCAGATCCTCAGGTCCCTCACCTGCTTCTCGGGACCCTGGAAGCTCCAGTCGACCAGGGAGGGGCTGCATCTGAGTGTAGACAGAGCTGATGACAGGCGTGAGTTCTGAGATGCAGTTGGTAGGTGGAAGGCGGAGGGGACGCAGATGTTCTGCCCCCACAAAGGCCAGAGAACCTCCAAAGCCAGGCTCCAGGCCGTGGTGTGCCACCAACTCCACATCCTTCTCATAGCCACCCGAGTTCACATCATAGGGGAGGTCCGAGAGGCTGAAGCGCATCTGCTTTTCGCCTGTGGAGAGAAGGGTCTCAGCAGGGCTGGCTTTGGATAATTCCTAAGCTCCCCCAGGATTACATCTTCATTTTCTTTCCCCTGGGGATGGCTGTAACATTATTCACCACCCCTCATTTACTTCCCTCAAGGTCAGGTCCTCTGTGGGGCTACTCCCTGACTCTGGGCTATAATCTTAGGGAGGGACTCAGCCCCAGCCCACTGGTCTTGAATACTTCCTTTGTTGCTCTCTATAAAGCTCCAGGTCCTTAGAGAGCTAATGACCAGGGCCAGGTTGGGGGACTCCATACACACCTCCTCTCTCTGACTCTAAGGGTCCTTCACTCAGCCCCCGTAGACTGAAGTCCTTCCTATTTTCAAAAATTGGAAGAGCCTGAGCCCCTGACCCCTTCCACTTAACAACCAACCACCTGGAGAGACCTCAACTCTGACCCGTCTTCCACCCTCGCAAGGGATGCGCTCCCTCTTCACTCCCCTCCTGTTCTGGGGATAGATTCTGAGCACCGAAGACCACCAGACCGCTTTCTTTCCCCCAAGCAAATCTCCAGACCCAGTTGATCTAAGGGCTATCAGTGCTCAGATTTAGATGAGCTGTGGCTTAAAGCTGATGTCTCCTCTCCAACTGGACTCTTACCTACAAACTTCTGGGGAGTGGAACGCTTGCGTTTGGTGAGGCTGTTGGCCAGACGATCGATGAAAGTTGGCCTCTCAGAGGATGAGTGCAGCATGGAGTCTGGCACCATCTCCAGGTCCCGTATCTCATCACCTAGTGGGAGGGAGGTGGGAACAGGTAGGAGCAGCTGAGTAGGGGTAGCAGGGGCCCAGCTGCCTTTGCCTGGAGAAAACCAGCAGGTCAGTAGCTAAGTAAGGTCATATCCCATGCCTGGGCAATGGGGCCCTGCTTACTTCACCCCATCTAGACCTCACCACAGCACATTTCTGATAATTTGGGGACAGTTAAATACATGTGGCCCTTGATTGTATACTTCCTTGTACTCTCTCTCTCTCCCATTAGACTGAGGACATAGATCAAATCCTCCCCCACCTCTGGATCTCCCTGCAGTATCCACCACAGGGCTCTGCACCAACTGGGGTGCTCGGCACATTTACTGGGGTAACTGTCCCTGTTCCATAGACTCCATCCCTTTGTGGGGGTAGGTGCTGGGATTGCCCTTGTCCTGCACTCCCTCCGGCCTTGTCCTCAACTCCCCGATGGTCCTACCTGCAGGCTCACCTGACTGGCCAGCCAGAGCTTGGGCTTCAGTGCTGAGACTCTGTAGGTAGTTGTGGCACCGCTCCTTGTGCTCCTCCAGGGTGCTCTGCTGTTTGTAGCTCCGGCCGCAGTAGTTACACTTGTAGGGCTTGCCCACCGTGGGAGAGGAGACTGTGTAGGAGAGAGAAGAGGAAGCACTGGAGTTACTTCTCCCTGTGCCCTGGCTCTGCAAAACCGCCCAGGAGCAAACGTGCACAGGCGTTGCTCAGTCGAGTTCTTCTGCTTGTCTTCCTTTCCCCAACTTCAGCTGCAAACACGGACAGACGACCAAACCTTGGAGAGGAGGGACAACGGGCAGCTATGGGAGGAGAGAGGGTACCCAGGGCACATAGCTTTGGACTGTTGGTGGGCCTCAAGATGGCCAAATTGTTGTTCAAAGGAAGGGAGGACCCAGGGACTTTGTAGGGGGTCATCCCTGGCAGGCAGGCTGGCCCCACCCCAAGATCTCAGAGTCTGGGGCCCAGACTGTGGTTTAACCTTTCCATGTGGCAGGCGGGTATAAGTGCTGTTTATCAGACAAGGGGATTTTTTGCTTACGAACTATCTGTTTCAGTTTGGGGGAAATTGGTGGGCTGGAGTGACAGAAACAAGAGCCCTTAGATCTGCCAATGTGGGGAGGGGCAGTTTTCACTGACCTTTACTTGTACTCTTACCTCCATCCCTGGCCTGATTTTACTACTCATTTTTCTTTCTCTCTACACTGAGATACCAAGAGAGCCCTAGAAAAACCATCACTGATAGAGAAATTCTGAGAAGAGAGAAAAAAAAAGAACAGAACAAGAGGAAAGTAAAGGCAAAGAATAAAAGGAAGAGAACACCAACTTCGGGGGTCGTTTTTTAAAAAATAACGAACAGGTTATAAAGATTTTGTTTCCACTGGAGAGAAAAAGGTTGGAAAAACTGAGATCAACAGTTCCTTTAAAAACAACTTGAGAGATGATATTTGTGAAAGTATCTTGCTACTACTGAGCAAGGACTCAGGAGAAGGTATCTCCAGGAGGCTGGTAATTACTACCCACCCCCCAACGCCTAAACTGGGCCTAGTCTCAATCAATCTACTGCCATTTTGCTCTGGCACTGTAAATCCGAGTGGTTGGGGGATGAGATGAATGCCGTGGTCCTCATCCACCCAAGACTCTTGGGGAAATGATCTAACATGTAGGGGAGAAACTCCTTTTTTCCTATAGTGTGGGCTGTGATAGAAAACACCTCACAGAGATGGGATCCAACAGTATATGTGTCCGCTTCCGTCCCTAATAATCTCCTACAGAGCAGCATCCAATATCCACCCAGCTGGCCCTGCTGTTTTGGTAGGAATTCTAGGGGGCCAAGCCATCCTTGTCCCAAACCAGCAGGGGGAGCCACCCCTTTTCCTCAGAAAAGGAGCACAACTCCCTGGCACCTGCCATTAACGGGATTCCAGCGAGGCTGCAGACGAGCTCTGTGATAATTAACATCTACCTTGGAATTGTTATGAGGATCACATGAGTGAGGAGACACACGTGAAATGCTTTGGAGATTATAAAGCATGAATCAATAATGATCCTTCTCCCTGGTTCTCCACATACATAGAGGTAAAGAGGTCCCAGCTCCAAAGTGAGAGAATCTAGAACAAGGTAGGTGGCTGGGAGAAGCAGAGGGTGGTGAGGTGATTGCTCTGTCCCTTTAAATCCTGGCCTAGGAGAGTTTAAGAAAAGAGAAAAACAGCAAGGAAGGTTTCCAAGGACAGACCCTACTAATTCTTTCCCCTCTGCCCTTCTTCCTTCCTTTTCCCAATATTGAACTCCCTCCTTCTTGCCAGCTCAGCTCCTGGCCTCTTCCCAAGTCCAAGCCAAAGCTTAAAAGTTAGCAAAATGCTTCAAAAGTGCTATCTGTCCAGCTGATTCAGAAAGACGTGGACTCAACCCGCCTTGGCTGGGGCTAGGAAACCTGGTTAGTCCAGTTCCAAACACTGACCTCCAGGCACCCTCTGGATTTGCTGTTGCCTCTGGGAAGGTGACAACCTCTTGGGATGGGAAACAGAAATGGGATACTCTTTTCCTAGGCTTCCTTTCTTCCAGTTTGGGAGGCCCATGGAAATTTTCAGGAACCAGCAGGAAGTCAAGGGGAGGACCGACAGAGGGGGGAGATGCAGATGGTGACAGGTGTGGGGCCTGGGGCACACGGGAGTAGAAGGAGGGGTTTCCCTGGTGCTCAGCAGTTGGGGGTGACGGGGCCCAGAGGGTTCTGGCATCAGCGTGAACTTTAAAAATCAAGTCGGGGGACTTCCCTGGTGGTCCAGTGGTTAAGACTCCGCGCTCCCAATGCAGGGGGCCTGGGTTCAATCCCTGGTCAGGGAACTTGATCCCGCATGCCGCAACTAAGAGTCTGCATGCTGCAACTAAAGATCCTGCATGCGGCAATGAAGATCTGGAGCGCTGCAACAAAGACCTGGTGCAGCCAAATAAATAAATAAATATTTTTAAATAAATAAATAATAGATTAAAAAAACCAAGTCAGGGAGGGTGACTGTTGAGAGCCAACAACATCACCCAGGCTCCTTCTTGCTCCCTATTACAGAGAATGGCAGATGTAAAATACCCCATCAAAGAGCCCCAAATCCCCCATGGGGCCTGCTGCCCTGCTCTGTGAGTGCTCTGCCCTCCTCAGTGGCAGACACTGTAATTCCCCCAATACAAGAGAAGTGCCTGAGCTCTATTTGCTGGGTGTCCCGGTCAGGCCACCTACCCGAGTGTGTGCGGAGGTGGCCAGTGAGCGCATCACGCCGGCGGCAGGCGTAGTTGCAGAAGGGACACTTGAAGGGCTTCTCCCCAGAGTGCAGCTTGATGTGGCGCAGCAGGTTGCCCTTCTGGGTGAAGGAGGCACCGCACTGGTTGCAGTGGAAGGGCCTTTCCCCTGCGAGTGGAAGACAGAGCCCAGACGACCGGGCGTGAGGAACTGTGAAGGTTACACCTAGTCCCTCACCCTCTGCTTCACCCCGCCCGGGCGAAAGAAGGTGCTCAGAACACATTTCTGAGAGGCAGGGCTGTGCCACACACACAAATCCTGCTTTATAAGGACCCCTTGGGAACAGTCTCACCCTGAGATGTGGACTAGAGGTGTGTGGCACGGGGAAGGGCACCAGCCCTGGAACACTGGGCCAAAGACTGTTGTTAAGAACTGAGCCCCACAGGTCCCACTCTGCCCCAGAAGTCTGAAGCCCAAAGCCCAAGAAAGCTGGGAAGAGGCTTCTGTGTTCCTTTTTTTAAAAAAATCATGAGACAGGGGCTTCCCTGGTGGCGCAGTAGTTGAGAGTCTGCCTGCCGATGCAGGGGATATGGGTTCGTGCCCCAGTCCGGGAAGATCCCACATGCCGCAGAGCGGCTGGGCCCATGAGCCATGGCCACTGAGCCTGCGCGTCCGGAGCCTGTGCTCCACAATGGGAGAGGCCACAACAGTGAGAGGCCCGTGTACTGAAA